TGTGGGGTTGTTAACCAATGTCATAAAACAGCATGTGTGTTACTGTTACATGAGAAACTATCTGTTCTGTAAGCCTTCACCTGAAGTACAATAAAATATTTAAAAAAAAAAAAAATCATAAGCTGTTCAGAAAAGCAATTAGATTATCTTCATATATGAAGGAATGAATCAAAGGTCTGAATGTTGAGGAAGACATATATACCCATTAATAACTATTCTTTTTATTCTTTGGGTTGACAAATACATGCAGGCCACCACTCTTCCAAACCAATGCCCATGGATACACAGCACTAATCAATCAAGGTACTGCTTTCTGCTAAACCTAGATATAGCCTCAGAATTCTCAAAACAGTGCTCAAAACTAGCCACTACCAATTGACCAGACTTGGTATTAGCACTGAAACCTGTTCACCACTCCTGCCTAGGCAGAAGGCTCTCTGCATAGTCTAATGTACACAACGGGTATTTAATAAATACAATGAGAAAACAATGAATAAATGCTGAAATGTAGTTTATTAGCAACTTAGTAAAAGAAGTTTCAAGTATGTAAACTGACTGACTGCAATAATACTCTTTTAGAAAGATAAGAAAGGGAGGTAACAAAATGCATCCAGATAAGAACACTGAAGAAAACGGTCTATTAATGAGGACTTTGCCATTAATCCTGCTGAGAGTCCACTCAAATGTTATATTTGTAACTCATGAAAATAAGCACAAAAACATTTTTCTATAAATCCTAATATATATATTCCTCTAAAAATAGGCAAAAATTTGAACATAAATACTTATTAAAATAGGACATTCATTTTATATAAACTGAAACATAAGACTAAAATAAAATAGCAGTGTGTGCTAAGCCATACCTTCTGAAGTTACTCATTTTAAACATTCACCTTAATAGGGTGGCAGAGTGGTGATGACATGATGCAAACTGTACTATAACAAATTTATACCATTTTATAGTCTTCTGAGAAGAGGGCTGAAATAATCATTAGAAATACACACACACAAAGAGAGAGAGAGAGAAAGTTACAGGTGAAGATTAAGGCAATGATAATGTCTCTTTTCATTTAAACTGCTCCTTTTGTAGACCATGGCAAATATAATAAACTCGACCCCTAAACAGAGCAACACTTAAAATGTTTACTTTTCACTGCCGTCCTTGATTATCGCTGAGAATAGGCACCCCAAGACAAGGTCAAGACAAGGTCAAGACAAGTTCTTTCTCAAGAGACAGAATGTGTTTTAAAATATCTTGAAATTAGAAAATACTAAAAGGAAGGATTCAAACAACGTCTTAAGGAGAAATAACATTTCATTTCCCTGAAAATGCTGACAAAGTCCCTGAGCAAAGGTGGGGAAGTTGAGCACCCCTATTCTATGGGAAGACAGTGCGAGG